TTCTGTCTCCAGATCCTGGTGTGGGGAAAAGAAAGGATGAGCCCAAGGACTTAGGTGCCCAAGGCTGTGTCTTCATTATGCAGAACTCTCCACTGAGTGAGTGGAATATGCTTCCTGGGACACTGGAGCCCTACAGTAGTGAGCTGCTTTGGGGAAGGAGGTTCTGGCCAGGTCCTCAGGCCCAGAAGTGTCCTTTATAACTCAAAAAGGAGAGAGATGTTGCTGGGAGAACACGTTGTCATGGAAATACACATTTTCCCCCCACTTTTCTGGTCCTATTATATAATCAGAAAAGGCTCAGAATAGAATCAAATAATCTACCAGAAGAGCAATGTAGAAGAGCCCTCCAACTGCTTTCCTGTGTTGAAGCCCCTTAGTTTGCTAGGTAGAAATTTCAGAAGCATGACATACTTCTCTGAACTGGGAAAGATGTAAACACTCTATCCTCTGTTCAACAACACTCTTACCTATTCTTTGTTAAAATAAAAGTAAAAAGAGAAATATAAGGAAGCAAGATAAGGTGACTTTGAAATTAATGTTAAAGTCTGAATTATAAACTAGAACCTTCTTCTTTGGGTCCTAAAGCCCCTCAATAGGATTCTGATACTCTAAAGTGGAATTTCAAACTTTAGTGGGCATCATAATCACCAGGAGGGCTTGTTACAACACGCTCCATGGAATTTCTGATTCAGTAGATCTGGGATGAGGTCAAGGATTTCATTCTTTTTTTTTTCTTTCCCGAGACAGAGCCTCAAGCTGTCCCCCTGGCTAGAGTGCTGTGGCATCACAGCTCACAACAACCTCCAACTCCTGGGCTCAAGCGAGTCTCCTGCTTCCGCCTCCCAAGTAGCTGGGACCACAGGCGCCCACCACAACGCCTGGCTATTTTTTGGTTGCAGCTGTCATTGTTGTTTGGTGGGCCCAGGCTGGATTCGAACCCGCCACCTTAGGTGTATGTGGCTGGTGCCTTAGCCACTTGAGCCACAGGCGCCAAGCTGAGGATTTCATTCTTAATGACTTGCCAAATGTTGATGCGGCTGGTCAGGAATCACTTTGAATGCCACTGCTGTAAGGAACAACAGATGGAATCAAGGATCTCAGGGTTCACTTACTTCCATGACTACCCTTGTCATAGAAAATTCATGGCATAACCTTATTTAAATGGTCAAAACATCAAACTAGAAGGATCTAATATACATAGGTTTAATTTTCAACTGTCTTGGTCTCCCTGCAGCTTCCAAATCTTGATAGGTTTCCTCACTCCAAGGCTGTACCATCTTCCTATTTACCACCGCCTTTTCCAAGATCTGTGGCTGACAGTGCTTGCTACCAGGGCTAGCCTGAGCAGACATGCACACATGCACCCTGTGCATGAGGGACAGCCAAGCTGGTGGCCTTGTACATCCCTGATCAGGTTGATTAAGGACTCATGAAACTATAAGGCTGATTGAATTGTAAACAGCAATATCTTTAGGCTTTGGCCTTTTGGAAACAGTATCCCTTAGACCATTTCATTACTTATGGCCTCCTCAGTGGGTCATGCACCAGGCCTCATAAGAGTATATCAGCATTGGTATGTCCCTCTCCATTAATAAACTCTCTGCAAAAGCACATTTTCCTTTTCATCTCATCATGAGCATTAGCTTATAGAATCTACTACTTAGTTGTAGCTTAGGTAATGCCTAGGATTAAGGAAAGAAAAAATAAAGTCTGATGTGGAGCTGCATTTGGTGATCTGGGTTACTTCAGCACTTGACCTCTATGTTAAATGTGTGATTAAGACAATTTCCTTTCCCAAACACATGGCAAAAAAAAAAGTCTCATGTAGTATCTCCTTGATCCTGGTTTGTAAGACTGAGTATCATTTAGTCAGGCAAGTTTAACCTGTATGTGGGGTTTCTATGTATGGGTTCCATCCTAGGTGATGATGTGAGGTGTCTGTGGGAAACAGCAGCCTACCACCTCTCAGACCACTGTTAAGGGGGCATCCCTCTGAATAGTGTACCCCTTATCTCAGGGAGCTAGAGGTGAAGAAATGGTGAGGTGGTGAGGTAATATCCATGTTTGAGTCCTGCGGAACAGGGAAACCAGAAAGCAAGAAATGAAAAGCAAAAAATATCACGTCTTAAGTTCTTAAGGAGTGTGGACAGACCAGTTGGCAGGCTGGCAATTCAAGACCAAAGCATAGTACACCAACCAATAAGGGTTTCATTGTAGGGTCTTCCTGTGGACTTTCAGCAAATTCTTCTTCCCTGCCAGCCTCTACCTTCCCAATGTTTGGACTACATAACAAAGACATTGGTATAAGGATTCACACAAAAGACAGATAAGCACCGTAGAGCTGCCACAAAGCATAGATTTTTAAAAAATATTCTATGAAGCCTCAGAAGATAGGAAACAGCAACAGCAAACTGCTCACACACACACACACAGACATCAGGCCCCATGTCAGCCTCCAGTTACCCAGTATTTTATTTTTAGTGCCTAGGCAAGAACTGAGAAGTACATCGGACAAAATTTGTTGGTCTTCTTCATCCAGAAATGAGAGGGTCTCTGCTGAGGAACTTCTCCTGGAGTTGTGGCTCTCCCTGTAGGTTGACATCAAGTATTTATTGAACCATGTCATGTCCTAGCCAACTTTGGTGTTGGGGGCTGGAGAGGAAGGGAATAGCACAATTCTAGTATTAGATAGGCTAGATTCTTCTGAAGGTGGCTGGGGGTTAGGAATTTAGCTATGGGACCCAGTTTTTCTTTTTTTGAGGGATCCCAGTAGCCTCAACCAAGAAGCAGGTGCACGGGGAGGAGAAAATGCTGTGGATTTGCTCCTTGCCATTAATTCTAGGGCAGTGAGGGGGGAGCTCAGGTCCTCTGCTTCAGAGAAGTCTGGATGAGCATCCCAAGGGGTTATAGCACCATGAGGAGGCTCAACCTTCTGCAGTTGCCACAGAACCATGATTCCTTTGTGAGATAATTGTTCCCCATAGTGAAGGGCCCAGATGTGCAACAGTAAACAGGGTCCCAAGCTCAGGGAAAGCTGAGGCTTCAATACCACCTTGCTAGATGGAAACACTTTCTGGAGGAAAGCAATTGGAGACCTGGGCTAAATGCAGCAGTCAACTGAGAGTAGAGGGTGGTGGATCCCAGGAAATAGAAATGAAAAGTCATAGCAAGAGAGGCCTCCAGAAATCAACCTGCTGAGGATCCAAGTAAAATTCATGGTGGTATCCATAGTTACCAGAGAGCTAAGAATCCCTTTGGGGTCTGAGGCAGAATGAAAGAAAGGGTTCTCCCCTCTCCTTTTTCTTAAGTAGCCAGTAACACCCATGACAAAAGGCACTGGCTGGGCAGCACCAGGAAATAGAGTTAAGAGCTCAACCACCAGATTCAGATGGCATTACAAGTCTTAGCCCTGCCACAGGACTGGAGCTTAGGATAGGGTTCAGCAGAGGCCTAAGTCCCAAGTAGGCCCATCCAGTTTTCCCTTCCTTCTAAGTTAGAACCCAGTTCCGGAGCCTCCTCATTTTGCACAGCAGAGACCTTAAGGCAGTGATTTCAGCACCATCCTTGGACAAGAAGCCTCTTCCCACCACAGAATTGCATATTTGACAGCTGAGTTGGTTGGGGATCTTCACAGCTCATGGCATTAGCAGCAATAGCAATAATGGTCTCCATCATAGAGAACCTTGTCATCCCTGGGAGTTCACTAGGTGAATGCAGGGGCTTTTCTGGGGGATGGTCTGGACTATCTTGTGGATCTAAATGAAAATATCCTGATATGAAGATTCAGTTGCAGCTACTTCTCGGTTGGGTGGAAAAGAGTGATCCGGGTTAGTATGCCTATAGATTCTGAGTCTTGTGCTACTTAGGAATCTGAAGAGCAAACACTTCAGCCCAGGCTCATCACATACTCCTGATCTGCAGAACCCTGAAACTTCAGCCTACTAGGCAGCTCAGCCTGGAATCTGGTCCCACAGGGGCTTCCAAAATGGTAGAAACAGACTTGTCCACTCCAGACAAGCAAGATTCCATAGTCTTTCAGCCTCCATCTTAACTGATCCCAGATCTTCTGCCCCCAGTATATTGGACAGCTAATCAAAGGCTTCTTTCTGTCTGGCTCCTTGGGTTTCAGCTACGTTTCTTTGATGATCTTGAAGGTCTAAATAACATGGGGATGTACACTTAATGGAGGTTAACACTTCCTACTGGACTGTGAACTCAAGGGCCCAAATTTTGTCTTTTTTTTTTTTTTAACTTAATGACTGGTACACAGTGAGTACGTTAAGTACTTGTCAAATGAAAGAACAGGGACTGCCAGACCTTCAGGGCAACAGGAAAGGGGAAACTTCTGTGAAAGATAAGATCTCTTTGGAAGCAAGATAATGGCCACTGTGTCAAACTCCTTGAAACTTATATTCTGACTGGGTTATCTCACATGGACGTCCAGCCTCTTATAAGTGAATGCTCACTTATCAAAAACAAAATAGTAAGGGCCAGCTAGGATACTGGGATTCAGCCAGGCAAAGTAGCTACCATCAGAGTAGTGCAGTTAGGAGTCAACAGGCCACAAGACAGAGGAATATATCCAATTTCCTGGTTTTCCTCCAGTCCAGGATGAAGCTCAGAGTAGATCTTCCATCCAGATGGGGCTCCAAACTCAATCATGCCAGAGGCTGGCAACTGAGCTCCCAGGCACAACGTGTGTTTTCTCAAAAGGGAAGTCAAGGGAACTGGGTTCCTCTTCTCCCACTACTTCTGAGCCAATGCTTCATGTCTCCTATAAGCCCCAAGGATGTCAAAGATGGTGATATGGCAGGTGTCTAGCTGGTTCCAATTAGAAGGCATCAGATTCTCCAAAGAAAACCCACTTAGAAAAGCCAAACTAGCCCCTGGAAAAGCAACACAAGCATCTTGTGGACATGTGAGGAAATGGAAAAAAAAAAAAAAAAAAAAGCAAAATGAAATGAATAGGCAAATAGGAGAAAAAAATAGAAACAAAATTAAAAAAACAAAAATAAAAAAGTAGGGTTTATTGACTCTCATGCACGTTAAATTAGAGGGGAGAAAGACAGAGCTTGTCTTTCTCTGAAGGCTGTGATGTTATTTTTGTGGTTTGGTGACTTCTTAGATTGGCAGCCGTCTTGTCAACGTCCCCTACATCATCCAGAGGGCACGAGTGGGCAGCTCTCTTTCTACCTTGGCAACTGGTTCCCCTCTCTCCAGCTTCATTTTTTCCTTTTTTGTTTTTTTAACCTTTTACAGATTGATTTAAACATTTTTAAAACCACATGCTTCTTTTTCTGGGCTCCAGCCAGATCTCCGGGGGAAGAGTTGTTGGCAGTGGTGATGGAATTGGGAAGGGTCTGCAAAGAAATCTGGGGTGCTTCCTGACTCCTCCAGATTCCCCCACACATGACTGTCTCTCTCAGTGTTATTTGCGAGAATGGATTAGGAACTGCTACAGAGTTTTTTGATGTCTTATGAACCCCTTCCCGGAAAGCCCAGGAGTTTGTAATTGAAAGAAGTCAAGGAAAAGACCCAGAATCGTCTTTTCCCCAAAGTCATGAGAGGAGGCCAGTAATGTATTTAGGGGACTCAAGATCCCAAACTTCACCCCACCAATCCTTACTAGAAGTTCTCAAAGGTGCAGCACCAAGAACCTGTCCCTCCTCTTTCACCTCCTCCTCCCTCCTGTTCTCCTCCTGGGGATGGAGAGCCAGTGCTCCAAAGGAAGAGAGGAGAGAGGAGGAGCTAACGTAGCTGATGCCAGCGTTCTGCTGTCCGGGGTGACAGTGTCTGCCAGACCCTCAGAGTGTTGCCTGGAGGTTGGGGTCCAGGATGGTTTCTCGATCTGGAGACTCAATGTAATTGGCAGCTTCTTGAAGTTTCAGTAACATGGCCATCTAAAGAAGGGCAAGAAGATGGATTAATGAGACTCGAGAGTCTGGATCCTGCTCACAGGAGGTAAACCTAAACAAATCTACATCATGGGTCTAAACTTTGGTTTATGAGTAATTAAGAGCTCAGAGTTCATAGGTGGTTCATGAAAAAGCAATGCCGATTGCTTCAACCCTGTTTGGAAACACGCGCATGTATAACTCTCACCTGGGGTACGCTTGTTATACAAGATGCCGTGCTGTGATACGTGCAGGGATACCAAAAAGATCAAGACCACTTCTGCCTGAAGGGTGGTTGCACTCTAAGAAAGGTTTGTATATACCAGCTAATACTAGGAGGAACATGAGAAGTACTATAAGAACATCTGTCTCTAACAACTTCTTCCAATAGATGATTATAATCCAACAGCTACACTCCATGTTATTATGAACTTGTTTGTCCTAGGTTACAAATCCTATTGTTTCATGTGAAGTCTAAACATCTCAGGTGTATTCACCTGCTTCCCTTTACTCACTTTTGTCCCCTTCATACTTTAAGCTTGGGATTCCCCATTTCGGCTAAATAAGCATGGCCCATTCTCTATGGAATCAGCCTTCCACCTTCTATCTATGTGATTATTAAAGTCTTCCAATTATAAAAGCATTTTTATACAGATAACATCTATTTTCAACAAAGCCAAAATTTAAATAAAAATGTATTATGATGAAATTGGAAGTATTTCCTACTTGAAAGATAAAATTGCATGGTCGTAGGATTTGCACTTTTTTTTTTTTTTTTTTGAGACAGAGCCTCAAGCTGTCACCCTGGGTCGAGTGCCATGGCTTCACTGCTCACAGCAACCTCCAACTTCTGGGCTCAAGCGAGTCTCCTGCCTCAGCCTCCCAAGTAGCTGGGACCACAGGCGCCCGCCACAACGCCCGGCTATTTTTTGGTTGTAGCCATTATTGTTGTTTGGTGGGTCTGGGTTGGATTCGAACCCGCCACCTTAGGTGTGTGTGGCTGGTGCCTTAGCCGCTTGAGCCATAGGCGCCGAGCCGGATTTACACATGTAAACTTTGAATACCATCTGCCAAATTTATCCTCCCAAATGGTTTTATCAATAAACATGCCCACCAACTGAGTAAGAGAAGTCTGTGCTTCCACATATACTATTTTTGCCAAATTGAAATGATTATCTTCTGGTTTTTTTTTTCAGGGTAGCAAAGAGAAATTTTATTTAGGAAAAACAAAGAGAAAGTTCAGAGCACTTCCAAATAGAGTTGGAAGTGGGTCCCTCTCATGAAGGAGAAAAGGTAAGAGAAGCCAATTATCTCCTGTTTTAATTTGCACTTCCTCCATTATTAGCAAGGTGGAAGATCTTTTTATGTTTTTATTTGCCATTTGCTTTTCCTCTAGTCAAATGCCTGTTCATGTCCTTTCACATTCTTCTGTTTGGATCCAGTCTTCTTTTGGTGACAGGTACTGCAAATATTCCAGCAGTTTTTACTTGTCTCAGCCTGCTTTCTACAAGGGTTCTGTATGACAGCATTTAGCTGAAGCAGTCTTCACGACAATAACAGAGGGAGGCAGAAATAGGGTGCTAATGTGTCCTACTGCTTGACTTCTTTGGCTGATATTCCTACGGTGATCTGTCTGAGACTTGGGTCTTTGCTAGAACACCTCTTGCTGGGATGCTAATTATTTAACATAAGCTAGGTCCTAGGCATTTGATCTTTAGAACCCTGGATTCTCATATTCAGAGTTCCTCACTGGCCTCCTCTTGGTCTGGCCTTGCCAATATCTTTAGCCTCCAGTTCTGCAATTCTTACTTTTACCCCAGGATGGCTTCTACTCACCAGAGGATCTGAGTCTAGAGAACTTGGAGTGCTGTCTTTAACCGTCCTATCCTCAGGAGGAGAGGCAATGCTGTGAGGGCCCACGGTGGGTGGAGGCAGGTGGTACAGCTTTGATTGGTCTTGTTGGGCTGATGGCCAGGGAAGAGTGTCCCGGACCCACTCTACAGGGTCCTCCCAAGCAGCTTTCTGTCCATGAACCTGGAGAGAAGGACAAATATGATTACTTTGGGGGGTTTACAGATTAGAAGTATATTCATTCATATAGTCTTTTGATAGTTTCCACAAAAACATCAAAAACATGCATTTCCTCAGTTTCCCAACAAGTAAAATAAGTTGGTACAAATGGTAAAAGCATTTTGGAAGATAATTTAGCAGACTACATTAAAATTTAAAATTTTTATTTTTTTAATTTATTTTGAAATTGCAAATTGTATACATTTATAATGTATAAGACGTTCTGAAAAACATATACATTGTGGAATGACTAAATCAAACTAACATGCATAACCTCATTAATATGCATAACCTGATTTTTAAATGTATACTACATTGTTATTCATTACAGTCACTGAGTTGTACAGAAGATTTCTTGAATTTGTTCTTCTTATCTACGTGAAATTTTGTATCCTTTGACCAACTTCTCCCTAACCAATCCCCTCCTAACCACCATTCAACTCTCTGTTCCTATGAATTCTACTTTTGTAGATTCCACATATAAGTTAGATCATGTGGTATTTCATCTGTTTATGACTGTTTTTTTTAGGTAACTTAATGTCCTCCAGCTTCATTCATGTTGTTGCAAATGACAAGATTTCCTTCTTTTTAAAGGCTGTATAGTATTCCATTGTGTATATTAGTATAAGACTACATTTTCTTTATTCATTCATCTGTTAATGGACACCCAGGTTGCATTAAAACTTAATATTAACAAATCTTATGACCCTGCAATTTTATTTTTCAAGGATGAAATTCTTCTACTTTAGTTATAATAGCATTTATTTATTTATTTATTTATTTATTTATTTTGAGACAGAGTTTCACTATGTCACCCTCGGTAGAGTGACATGGCATCATAGCTCACAGCAACCTCAAACTCTCGGGCTTAAGTGATTCTCTTGCTTCAGCCTCCCAGATAGCTGGGACTATAGGTGCCTGCCACAGCACCTGGCTGGTTTTTTTGTTGCAGTTGTCATTGTTGTTTAGCTGGCTCAGGCTGAGTTCGAACCTGCCAGCCCTGGTGCATGTGGCTGGCACCATAACCACTGGGCTACACCTGCCAAGCTGTTATAATCCTTTTTAAAAATTGCTGACTTTCTTGAAAAAACAGATGGTATCAGTGTGAAAATGCTTTTAGAGAACTATTAATAATGATGCAAAATTTCCTTAAAATATCACAATTTGTGAATGACATAATGATTTCTGGCATCAGTGTGGGAGTTTAGAAATTTCCTGGATCATCAAGAGCTATTTACCTCAATAACAAATTACTTTTATGGATAATACATGACCAATAGGGACTACAGAACTGCATCACAGTTCACTAGTGCTGGGATGGACTTTACTGATCACTGTGCCCTAATTCCTGGGTGAGAAAACTGAGGAGGTTTAAAAAGTAACATCCTCCTTTTGTACAAAATTTTCATTTTAATGTTTTAAAATCTTTCCACATATTTCTGGCGGCGCCTGTGGTTCAGTGGGTAGGGCGCCGGCCCCATATACCGAGGGTGGTGAGTTCGAACCTGGCCCCGGCCAAATTGCAACAACAAAAAAATAGCTGGGCATTGTGGTGGGTGCCTATAATCCCAGCTACTCAGGAGGCTGAGGCAAAGGAATCACCTAAACCCAGGAGATGGAGGTTGTTGTGAGCTGTGATGCCACAGTACTCTACCAAGGGCGATAAAGTGAGACACTCTCTAAGAAAAAAAAAATCTTTCCACATATTTCATTTTGCATTCGAAACAACTTAGTGATTTAGGCAGAACAGAATGTGTTATCTCCTTTTTTATATATGAGGACATTTAAAAAGGCTAAGTAACTTGATTGGTGTTGACATATTTGTTAGTTAGTTGCCAGCTAAGGCTATAATAGAGTTTCACTTAATTCTTAGCTCAATCATTTTTCTATTTGCTCTGATTTCATAGACAGTTGTTTGAATTGGGCTTAGAGCCAGAAGGCCTAGGACTAGATGGCCAAAAAGGCAATGGTCAGTGAGCCATTTGCTGAATGGCAGCTGAAGGCAGAAAAGCAGCTTAGTCTAGCCAGTACCTTGCTCAACCTGTAAGGAAGAGAACCTAAGTAATCCCAGTAGTCCCGTGCTAACATCAAAGACATATTTCTACTTTGTTAGGTGGGACAGCCTGATCTTGGAGTTTCAGTTGAGTTAAGAGGGTAGGGCTCACCTTGATCCCATCCTTGGCTCCTTCTTGTAGGTAGGGAATGATAGAGTTGTTCCATAGGTCAATGAACCAGGTTCGGAAGTCCTCAATGCCAATGGGACAGGACAAAAAGAAGCAAGGGCCTAGAGAAGAGGATGAGGCAATGAAGATGGCTGAGACTCTGAACTTCCCAGCTGTATGCCTCTTTTACTCCTTAGTACCAGGAGGAGGGGTCTGACTCCAAAGGATTAAAGGAAATTTAGAGCTGTCAAGACCTCCAGGTGCTGACTGCCTGACCAACAATCTCATAAATCATGCTGCGCGAGGTGGAAGTGAGGAAAGGAGGTGAGGGAAGCTTTCTCATTCCCTCCTTTTTTCTGTTAATTGTGCAGAAAAAAATGAAGGAGGAGAAGGATTCATTTTCTGATGGTCGAAGTGATTTACATAGTGCTAACTGTGTTGGGAAGGCTTGTTAAGTAAGCAAGTGGCTCTCTGATGCTACGAGGCTTGCAACTCCTTCACGTGCTGAAGACACCAGGAAGGAAAGGGGAGCATCCTTCTAGAAGTAGAAAAGGGAAGCCACCTCCTGACCCCAAGGGGAAGCTGGACCCCAGTACCGATGAGGAAGTCTGAGGTGCTGTGCTTCTCAAGGAAGGTGTGGAGATGATACCACAGCTTGGGCACCCAGTCGAGCACCCGAAGTAGCTCTTCCTTGTTGGCATTGATGTCGCTGTCTGACTCTACCAGCTTCCTCCTCAGGTAACGAACCAGGAAGCCATTGGCTGGCTCCACGTTGTTGGAGAAGGTCAACATCCTGCCACCAGGGATGGGGAGAGTGTGGTCAGAGTGGCAATGGGGACTTGGTCACATCCCCTACCAGTCCGTCCCTCCTCCTGCCTGCCTCTCACTAACACCCATTGGTTTCTGCTCAGGTAATAGTGGGGACAGTTGAAGTCAGGGCAGCAGCCCTGGGCTGGTGGAGATGATTTTCAAATTAGTGACCCTCTTCAGATAATCACCTCATCTCACTGACCTGGATCAGGGTGAATAGGCAGAGAATCTTAATTACAGCAGCCTACCTGGGTCTCTCCTAGCTCTGCAGTCTTTTCCTCTCAAATGTCTGCCTCCACCCTGTAACTGACATGGCAAATACACCTACTTTCTTTTTCCAGCCTGAAAGACTCTGGCTACTTCTCTTTCCTTTTGCTGTCTACTCCCCACTGGTCCATGCTTTAAATAGTTTTATAGACTCTCAGGTAGGGCCAGAAGGCTCATGCAGGCAGGCCCACAGTCCTTACCTGAAGCTCAAGTGCAAACCATGGTTGGGTGTCATTTTTACAGGCTGATTGGTGGTACCTATAATATAGGGACTGTGGAAAGAAAGGGAAGAAACATTCACTCAGATGTGTCTTAACCCTTGCTTTCTGCCACATGCACACAATGGAGAGCTCATAAATTGCACAGGCCTGGGTTCTTCATCCTCCCACTGCACTGAGCTTGGTCCTAACCCAGCTTACCATTTGTGATACTTGCAGGTGAGGGCCCCATTGACCAGCTCACTGATGGAGCCTGCTTCACTCAGGTCATCCAACAGGATCACCAGAGGCACATCCCCAATTCCTGTTTCCCGGTCTATCTGGTTAGCCAGGTTGGAAAGATACAGTTGCAGATCCTAGAGTAAAAAAAAGTAGTGAGTGGGTACTCAGGAATCAGAACTTAGATCAGCCTTGGAAAGCAGGGTTTTGGAGAAGCTTTGCTAGTTTTGGATTTCCCTGGGGCCTTTGGTTCCTGTTTGATGCACTTGGGCATTTAAATATATAAATATTTATAGTCTAGAGCCAGATGGCCATACACTGATAAATGGTGGCCCCTAAAGCTCTAAAGCAGCCCCCGTAGTCTCCCAAAGGTAGGGAATACATGCTGTTTCCTAAATGGATTTTCATTAAGTTGGTACCATGAACTACTGTTAATGGACATTCCTTCCCAGCTTGGGAGAGCCAAGATTTGAACCAACTCCTAAGCATTATGGTGTGCTCAAGAGACATCAGGGGAGGGCACAATATGTAACATTTAATTCTGAGTACTTCTTCCCAGAGAGCTCAAGGTCAGAAAGTAATACTGAAAAGAAAGGTGGAGAGAAGAAAATAAAAGTAGGGATGGGGTTGGCAGAGAGAGGAAATGAGGAGGATGTAGGTTAATCAATGACCAACTGAAGGGAAAGGAGCTCACAGAGGCAAGGAAAAGCATGGAGACATAAGTTCAGGGCAAATGTCTGGAAAGAAACTGGGGGTAGGGGAGGGGAAAGACTAGACAAGGGGATAAGATACAGAGAGAAGGAAAAGCACACAGAAGACGGGGAGAAAGATGAAAGCACGGAGAAGGGGATGGTGAGGTAGGATGGGCCTGGGGAAGGGTCCTAGGGGAGGCTGAGGCCCGAACAAAGGCTGGTGGGGGTCTCAGGAGGCAGACACCTTGCAGGACTGCTGGTGCATGTTGAAAGTGCTGACGATGCCCTCGGTGACCTCACGGCCAGAGCGCTCTACTAGGTACTCAGCCAGCCGGTTGGTCAGGTAGGTCTTGCCCGTGCCGCTGGGGCCCGAGAGAACGAGGCGCCGGTGCTTGAGCAGGAGGCTGATGTAGTGCTGCATCATCGGCTTGGGGATCAGCGTCTCAAACACCAGGCTGTCGACGCATTTCTCCTTCAGACCTGGACCCCACCCCAGAAAGCATGAGTCTCGACCAAGGCCCTGAGGGTAGTAAGCCCCAAAGAACTTTTCTTTCTTCATCTAGGAGTCCACTGAAGAACTCCAGGCCACTTGCCCCATAGTTTCACAGGAATACCCTGACCCCTTGTTTGGAAAAATCAGATCTCAGTTTTAGGGATATGCTCTAAACCAGGAGTGAGGGCTGGAGTAAGAAGCCAAAGCTTGGCAAAAATATCCCTGGGAACAAAACTTAGGACTGGCTTTTATTTATTTTTTCATGTCTCATATTACTTAAGCATTATAGTTTCTCAATGAAGTCTTGTTGAATGAATGTGTGAGGATTACTTGATGATCCTCTGCCTGCCTCCGTGCCCTACCAGCTCACCCCAAGAGACAAAGACTAACCTTTGAGGGAGACCGATATGTTGTTGACACCCCGACGGCAAGGAGGCATCTCGGGGGGCTCAGTGTCCAGGACCCGTTTCACGTGGCTAATGCTGTAGCCGTGGATGGACTCAGTGCTTAGTCCCAAGGTGGAGGCTGGGTCCATTTTAGAAATATAGTCCTGACAGAGAGATGGGCAGAACATGAAGGACAGGTGAGGGACACTGAAAAGATGTAAATGCAGCGGTAAAAGCCACTAGAAAGAATGAATATTAGAGGAAACCAAAGTAGATGGAGAAAGAGATGAGCAAATTCTTTTCCTATGCAGCATTTCTCTATAAAGCATCGAAGGTCCTAGGATCCCAGTGCCTGGATGGCTTAATACCCCATGAGAGGATGAGCAAGCTTTGTGAGTACCTTGAACACTTGGAAAACAGCTTCATCCAGCATCTTCCAGTCCACCTTCCCACTGACCTTGCTACACCCCAGAAAGAATTCCTGCTGCTTCAAGTCCTGTAAGGCCAAGGTAGAAGCACGTAAACTTCAGTGCAGGTAACTCCAAGAAAGAGAGATCTTAATAAGGCCTTAGGAGTTGAGTACTTTGGGGGGGATCTTCAGAGTCCCTATTTTCTTGGATGTGTGTTCCTTACCCCTTTGATGATGTGCTGAGGGGGCATCCTCACCACCACCCGAAGGGTCACCTCCTCTTTTGGACCACATGTGCTGATACCATCCATGGGTGATAGGTCTGTGGGGATTGAAAAGGAACAAAAGGTTTTAGGAATACCCACAGCCTTTCCTAAACTTTCCCATCATGATCCTTTCCAAGTAAGTATTTGCCACAGGGAAGAAATGGAGGCCTTGAAAAGAGAAATGAATCCTTTTCTGCTTCCCACCCTTAGACTCTTCTCCTGAACAGGTACCTGTGTCTGTGAGACTTGGACTGAAGGAATGGGTGAGTGCCAGGCCCAGGGAGCGGCGAGGGGACGACAAAGCAGATGATCCAGGGGCCTGCCCTGGAGTGGAGCTTGATGAGGGGCCTGGGGCTACCTTCAGCCGGTCATTCTCTGCTTTCAGCAGGTCCACTTCCAACTGTGGCAAGAGCAGGACAGGGTAGGGTGGCAGGGTCGGGCAAAAACCAAGTCTCCGTCTTCCCTCTCCTGCAGTTCTCCACCCAGATACGGACCTGCATGTTGTGCATTGTTTCCCGAAGCTGATCTAGTTGGTGGGCAGAGTTGAGGGCCTCCAAGCGGATATCTGTAAGCTTCATCTCCTTCTCCCATAGCTCAGAGCGCAGCTCTGATACCTCCTTCTTCTCTGGCTCCTCCTCCTCATTGGCATGGAACAGCCTAGTGTGAGGAACTGGGTGAGGAGCAGGGGCCCTGTAAGAAAGCAAGAGTTAAACCAGGCTGCACAGAGAAGCAGCAGGATAACGGGGGCTACAGAGCTGCATGGTTGGTAGTCCTGGCTGCTACTGCCCGCAGATAGTCAGTATGAGAGGAAAGGCCATCTGCTGGTCTCTTCTGCTCAGGGAGAGGTCAGTAGTAAGGCAGAGCTTGTCCAGAGTTTGATGGGCCTACTGTCAACTCCAGCCAGCAGTTTCCACTGACCCAGGCTGGGTGGCAGGGAGGTAGAGAACACTTACTCAGTGACATCAGTGCCCACAGAGGATGAGGTGGAGGACTTGATGGAGGGGGAAGCAGTCTCTGTGGAACCGTGCTGTAGTTTGGGGGATGATGGGGCTGAGGAGTCAGGTGTGGCAATCTCCTCTATATCAGAGTACGAGGAAGCTGACTTGGGTCCCTTTTTTATACTGAAGGCTTTGTTGAAGGAACTTCGAAGCTAGAAAAAAGCAGATCCAGGGAGAAAGTCATCAGGACTCCACTCTGGGGATAAGGGAGGACTGGTTTGGGACATCTGAGACAGAGATGTGGCTGCAGGGGATTTACTTGGCATATCTAAGCCTCTCTCTTATGAGGCATCACTTGATTCATGGAATATGGACAGAAGAGTTGCCTAGAAATTAGGACTGAGAATGAGCAGAATCTTCTGGCTTGATGTTATTGCAGGTTATCGTTGACTTGGGTGTTCTCTCTTCCATGGGGAAAACTGTGCCCCCGATGGGGACAGGGAGAAGTTCCCTGAGGTCACAGGGTACACCTCTTAGCAATCCAATTTCACCTTCTGCACAGACAAAAATCAAGCTCACTTTGGTTCCCAGATGCTACCTCTGCCTAGGACCCATCAGCTCAGAACAGTGGTTCTCAACCTTCCTAATGCCATGACCCTTTAGTACAGTTCCTTATGTTGTGGTGACCCCCAACCATAAAATTATTTGTGAGGGTCACCACAACATGAGGAACTGTACTAAAGGGTCATGACATCATGAAGGTTGAGAACCACTGGCCCAGAATCTATTAATCTATTTTCCTATCAACCAGAAACTGATAATATGATTCCGTGGAGAACAAGAGAAGGCAGTGATATCAAGTTCCTTTTAGTATTTCTTGTGCCCAGCACATCCAGAATGGTTGGAATAACTAGATATCAGCACGTTCTACTATTTCCAACGTCCTAGAAGAAGGGATATTTCCCACTATCTTCTTAGACTACTTGGGGCATTATAATACAACCATAGCTGATTTGATCTTGGTGTTGATGGGTGTTGAGTGTTAGGGCTGTGAGGCAGAGGTGCAAACCAGAGTCCTGTCCCACACCCATTCACATGCATCCATACCGCATGCACACACACACAGGGACACAGATGTGAAATGGCAGCGAGACACAGAGAATAAAGGAGGGGTCAAAGGTTACAGGGGACAAAGACAAGCCAGATCTTTGGGACAGTGAGAAAAAAGAAGGGGAAATTTGAGGGTGCTCTTTTGAAGTGTCTCTCCTAGAACACAGGAAGGCTTTCAGACGATGGATGGTGGATAGTGTGTATTGGGGTTTCTACCAGGCAAGACATAAAGGAGGATCAAACTGGCTGCAAGGGGGATGTGAGTATGTGTGTAGCTGGCTGGTCCCAGGGGACTCATTGTCACTGGGCAGTCTGGGCTCAAAAGTACCATAAGTGCAGTTCTCTGTAGAGATGAAGAGGCGAGGCTGAAAGGCCAGAGAGTTGACTTGCTTGAAATGGCATAACTGAAAAAATGTTGGGACTAGAATTCAGGCTTCCTAATTTTCAGTCCAGTGACGTTTTCTCTGTATCACTGCTTCACGGGAAGCTCTGTGTGTGTGTATGTCTGCAGAAAGAGATTCCATCACTACAGTCTGTCTGGAGTACAAGCCCTCTAAGATCAATAAAATCTTAAGTGAGAATAGTGCTCTATGTGTGATTCAGTATTCCCCAAGCCAGAACTGCTGGGAGATGTTTGGTGTTATGCAGCTAATGGTTAAATGAATTCAGGAAACAATGGATTAAGCAAAGTGAAACAAGATTCTTTGCTGGGGCATATCTTACAACTTAGATGTGCACTGTAGAAAATGCAGTGCTTCTCAAATTTACTGATGATGGTATCACTTTTTTGTGGGTAGTGTTGAGACAGACTCACTCTGTTGCCCAGGCTAGAGTGCTGTGGCATCAGTCTAGCTCACGGCAACTTCAAACTCCTGGGTTCAGGTGATCCTCCTGCCTCAGCCTCCTGAGTAGCTGGGAATACAGGTGCCCACCACAATGTCCCAGCTAATTTTTCTATTTTTAGTAGAGACGGGGTCTCATTCTTGCTCAGGCAGATTTCGAACTTCTTAGTTCAAAGGATCTTCCTGCCTTAGCCTCCCAGAAAGCTAGAATTATAGACATGAGCCATTGTGCCCGGTCCATGATGGTATCACTTTTAAGAAGCATCTCAATGGACTGGTGATTTGTAGAATGCACTTTGGGAAATGCTTATCTAAAGAAACATGTTTAAATCATTATTAAGCCCTTCTTATCTGTGCATCCTGCTCAGGGAAAAGACCAGCTCTAATCAAGCTGATCTTCTCCCTTCCCCACGGTTTCCATTGTGATCAGTGCCTACGTAGAAAGCATTCCAACACACTCCTCTCTACCTATCACAATCCTATCTCAGTTGAACTTTTACCTCCTTTGAGATATTTTCCCTGTTGGCTATAAGCACAATCTCTCTCATCTATGAACTCTTTAAGCACTTACTGGCTGAATAAGCATTATGGAACCATTAGATTGCCATTAACTTCATATGTCCAATATTTTTTGTCTCCCCAGCAATACTGCAGACTCCTTAATGACCAAGATTACAGATTCCATTTTTCTATATCCTTCACAACATCTAGCACAATGTTGAGATAGGGTTAGAGTAGATCTCAATGTCTGGGTTGTAACAGAAATTCTTTTTTTTTTTTGAGACAGAGTCTCAAGCTGTTGCTCTGGGTAGAGTGCCGTGGCATCACAGCTCACAGCAACCTCCAACTCTTGGGCTTAAGCGATTCTCTTGCCTCAGCCTCCCAAGTACCTGGGACTACAGGTGCCTGCCACAACACCTGGCTATTTTTTTTGCGGGGTGGGGGGGTTATAGTTGTCATTGTTATTTGGCGAGCCTGGGCTGGATTCGAACCTGTCAGCTCTGGTGTATGTGACTTTTCTCAGTCCTAGCCACTGAGCTACAGGTGCCGAGCCTGCAACAGAAATTATTGGTTCACTTTCTGTTTGTCTTAAACTATATTCTAATCCCTGGGAAACTCCATGGATGTTTAGAGGGTTACAGTCTTTGAGGCAACTTGAGTATGCCCTAGACTATACTATATCTTGTATCTATATCTCCCATTCATCCTACCCTAGAGCTAAATCTTCAGGTTACACCCAGACTGACTTGGCCTCTGGAAATTTTGGTCAAGATAAACTTTATCCAGTAACTCTCTTCCATTTGGGGTTTCTAGATTTACTGGAACCAAAAATAAGGCTGATTTTCTGAATAGAAGCAGCTCAGTTTGAATGCTTTACAACAGTTTTCTAACAGGCAAACACAATCGGGAATAGACTTGAATTTTGTTGACTTTCCCATTTGGCCCCCAACCAGACCGCTCCTCTGTCCTCACGTGGGCAGCTGCGAATGGACCATGCAGTGGAGTGAGTTAGGAACTCAGGGGTGGGAGTTAACAGTTAGTGTTATGAGTGACTGTTCATTTTTTTAAGGGAAGGGAGTTGCTCTGGAAATAGGGAAGGTATGGCAAAGGGAAAGAGAAAATAAAGGGAGAGGAACCAGGTACCTTACCTCGTAGACCTGGAAAAAAATAGGGATTTGGAGTCAGCATTTTGAAGGGGGAAAAAAAAGAAGCAACACTTAATCACTCATTTCACACAGCTGGTACCTATCTGTCTTATGCAAAAGTTTATGGGACAGTCTTACTAAACAAGGGACAGAAGAGCAAGAAGACTCCATTTGGGGATGCTTCTTAACACAGTTAGCAAGGGGAGATAAGATTGGATCTGCCTAAAGAGTTCCAGAAAAATCACCCTAAGTCTGTTGATTATCTGAGGGAGAAAAAATCCCACATATACAAAAATAAACTTTGGACCAGCCAAAGGTAATATAACAAATTCTTTAAAATTAACTGGGAAGGTTTCACAAATCTCTCTCCAAAAATTTAAGAATTGACCTCTAGGAGCATCTAGAATGCCTTCGAGGAGCTCTCTAGAATGCTAGCAGCTTTGTTCATAAAATCTTCTCTCTATACCATAGAAGGGAATGAGGGGACTCGGGAACAAATTGATTAGCTGTTACCTTCTGGATATTTTCTCAGCATTCTTCTATTGACAAATACATTTGGCCTAAACAGGCATAAAGACCCCAAGAAAAGCAGATATCTATAACAGTTGGAAGGGTGGCCTTGAAATAAGAAGAATTCAGCAGATCTTGCTTTAAGCAGACATCAAACTGGGGCTTAGTATTAGCAGGGACTCCATCTTGGTTAACCTTGGAAGGCTCTGATCCCTGCAATGAGGTGAAGGTGGTTCACCATGCTCTATAGACTTCCTCTTTTTTTTTGCAGTTTTTGGCCGGGGCTGGGTTCAAACCCGCCACCTCCGGCATATGGGGCCGGCGCCCTACTCCTTTGAGCCACAGGCACCGCCCATGCTCTATATACTTCCCTCCCCCAAAACGTTCACCTACCCAACTCTTCTTTTTCTTCTTTTTTGCATCAGCATCCTTGCTGCTGCCAATGCTGGAATGGCTAGTGATGCTGTTGAGGCTTGAGATGCTATCTGAGGAGTTTTGTCTCTTGATCCGAAGTTCTAGGGGTCAAGTACAAGTGAAAGAACACAGAACAAATTTTGAGAAGACCTAAGGCTTAAGCCAAGTCTAGCTGCAGGAGATAAGAGAGAGGGAATCAACTAACTTCTAGGTCCACATTACTATGTCCTCATTGTTTGGATTATTCAACAAATGTTTACTGAGTGCCAATCATGTTTCAACATAGAAAAAAATGCTAAAGGTAAAAATTAAGTAAGAAATGTTCCCTGTTCACCAGAAACAGAAGTGGCACGTTGTCATGAACTCAGCTTACATAGGTCTGAGAAGGACTTCACTACAGACAGCCCTCTATGGTTTTATAGAGACATCAGCCTATCATTTTTTCATGACTTTTCCATCAATACTTGGTTATCTAGTGGTCCAGGGTCAAGAAGAAGGATTAGCCATGTGCCCCTCATTTAACCTGAACAAGCATTAATTTTCTCAGTGGATAGGGAGGAAATTTCAGCTTTCTGAGAAGGTTTGTGACGGCCTAAAAAACGATTTACTTTCCTACAATAGAGAAGGGAAGGGTTAACAAAGGTGATGTTTGAGTTCTGAAAGAAGTTCTTCAGCGGGGAACATTGGCAAAAGTATTTAGGACAGAAGGAAAAAGAGACACGTAAAGGCCCTGTGCTACCATCTGGGATGGAAGCAGCACAGAAAGAGGTGAGGGTAGGGTTCAGGCTTAGGCTATGATGGGGAGAGCCCTGAACACTTTTTAAAGGAAAGGTGCCTTTGTGCCATAGGCAATGGACAGCAGAGATTCTGAAGCAAGGAAGCAATATCAGACTTTTAAAACTCTTTTTGTTCTGAAATACTTAACAGAGTCACAGGAAACTGCAAAGAAATGTACAGGGAGACACTCTGCACTCTGGTCTCGTCCAGTATTAACATCTTGTGGAACTACACTGTGATGTTGAAAGATTTTTTAAAAATAGAGCTTATTATATTAATAATGAAAAAGATGAAGTGGAGGCAAACTAGACTAGAGGTTAGGGGACTAGTTAGGTAGCTATTTATAGCTGTTCTCCTAGAAACAATGAAGAAGATGTGGGTAGTATTTGGTTATTTTGCTCTCTCTTTTCATGACCAGGAATGGGTCTTCAGACTCTTTATTTTCCCTTGATACTACAGGGAAAATAAGATGTTAGATCTGATGGTGGAACTACCAAAATTCATATGGCACTTGGAAAATTATTCAATGATTATCAAACAAAGCTTATGATATTACAGAATAATTCAGTTATTTTAAAAAGGTGTAGATGATTCTCAAGAGAATATTCTGAGCTGAAGTATAAAAATTCATTTATATAAAAATGAATATATATATATGTATTTGTTTGTATATATGTTTGTAAGCACAAAGATAATTATTTCTGGAACAATTCGTAATAACCACCAGCAGTACTTACCTCTGGGGAGTGGGATTTGGAAGGGTGATTCAGGGAGAGGGATTTTATATTTTACCACATACCCTTTGATATAGTTTAATCTCAGCATCTGGCAATCATTCACTATAAAGGGCCAGATATTAACTATTTTGGGCTTTGTGGCCATGTTGTCTGTCACAACTACTTAGCTCTGCTGCTGTAGCACTGAAGCATTAAATAATTGACATATAGACAGTATGTTCCAATAAATCTTTATTTAAAAACAGGTGCTGACCCGGATTTGGCTAATATGGGGCTGTAGTTTGCCAACCTCTAGCTTACATTCCCCCTCATTATTATTGCTTTTATAATAAAAATGAGTTTAGTTAAAATTCATTAATTAAAAACAGAATGAAGGGTAGCAAAGTAAGTGTGCATCTGTCTATCATCAGTTATTTGGAGGTTTCTATTAGTTGGTGGACAATTAAACTAAAAAATATAAACATAGTACTTTTTTTTTTTTTTTTTTTTTTTTTTTTGAGACAGAAGCCTCAAGCTGTCCCATGGGTAGAGTGC